TGGCAGGACATCACTGGATTGATTTTCAAGTTGTTACCCCTGAGGATGTTAAAAGCGCTCGGTCTGACTCAGACTTACTGGATCTCCATCGTTGCTCTAGGCGTCCCTTTCGGCGCTTCATCTCCTGGAGTTTCTCAGTAAACCAAGGAGCCCTCCTGGATCCACTGCCTCGGATCGGCCGTAAAGGCGCAATCTGGTTAAGAGCCCCTGTCGCTGCTGAATTCCAAGCAGCAACCATAGTCTCCGCCAGACTGCGGGCGAGGGTATCAGGAACAACGCCAAGCTCCTTCTGAAAGCCCAAAGGGTCCATAAGTTGCCTGGGGTGAAACCACCTAATCGGTTCCTCCTCCCTACAGGTCTCCGAAAGTCAAGCCTCAGTAGGTAGTTGTCCGACCATGACAGGGGTAAGATCTCGCTACCCCTCAAACCAAGATCACAACTCCACTGCTCCAAGAGGAATACGAAATCCTTAGGTAAAGTCAAGGCTTTTTTCTTTTTCTAACCCTGTTCAAGAAAGAGGAGTGGGATGGGGTGGGGAGGTAAAGTTGTAAATTCCAGGAAGTGATTTAATCTTTCTCTAGTTTTTACAGTGGACCCATTACAGACTAACATTCCATGCTTATTTTAGAATTTTTTAAAAAATGAGGGTCAGTTGTGGGCTATGTATCTAATATAAAGTGCAATTTGACCATGAATTGCTGAATGTAAAAGGTCTTCCTGGGGTAAACACAGTGTAGTTGATCCTGAATTGAGTATAGGTGCTGTTGCACACTATCTCTGACTCTTCCTCATCCTCCAATTTATCTTTGAGATAAATTGCTATTTTACTGGCTTTCTTAAATTCCTTCTAGAAAACATGTGGTCTTTATTGTTCCTTCTTGGGAAAACACCCTGTGCTTTTGTATGCGTCAGTGAATGTACCTTTTGGATCAGTTCTACTCAACAGGGATCACCAGCCTTTAGTGTAGTAAAGCAGTGTAGGGATGTAATGGGGAGTAGCTCCATAAAATATTTCAACATGTTAGGCCCTCATGCTCTGCAAGATCTTATTGCTTCAATATGGAGATTTTATTTATACAGTTGACATGCATGGAGACATGTTTTTGGGGAGCACAGAAAGAGCTCATTTTAGTAGAACACTTAATCTGATTACAGGTAGTCCTCAATTTATAAACGTAATTGAGTCTGGTAATTATGGTCATAGGTTATGACAGTCGTAAAGTAGATCATCATGTGACCGACCCAATTTTATGACTTTTTCGCTGTTGTCATTAAGTAGACAGCATGGTCATAAAGTGAACACTGTGATCATAAAATGAACCCATTGTATCCCATGGGACATTTTTGCCAAAACCTGGAGATTAATGAGGGTTTTTGGCAAAATCATAGATCGTAGTCCTGTGACTATGGGATCCGGTTGACATGTGCCCAAAATGCAATTATATGGCCTGTGGGAGGAATGGCCATTAGAACTTTGGAACTTCATGGCAAATACTTTTTCAGGGGCTCCATCATAACTTCAAATGATCATTAAGCAATCAGTTGTTAAGCTGATTATAACATGGATTTTCTAAGGATTCCTTTTATGAACAAGATTTTTATTTAATTGCTTGGGTTGTCTCTTCTTCAATAAAACTTCTGTTAGACGAGTGATTAAAGTAATTAAATTATATTTTTCTGTATCTTCCCCGATCCTTTTTATAAACTAGAATTATACTGAATATGCTTCAATCCCTGGGGACTATTCTTTTTTTAGAAGTAAAATCTCACATTAGAATTCTTTAAACTCTGCTAAATGGGTAACATCTAGACCTAATCACTTTTTTATTTTCAACTTGTCAGAAAACTTATATTGTCCTCTTGCCATAGGAGCCAGGCTAATAAAATTTTGTTAAGTCAAATAACATAAATACAGACTCTTTTATGTTGACACTACATATAACAACCATGGAATGCCGGATTCGGATGATTTCCAAGTGCGGAGTATGGATCATTCTGTGAATATTGGTAGCCAAATTTATGGAGTAACATAGAAAATTAAAAAGAATGGGACTGTCAACAAGGTCTGACTTAGAGGATGTATAGTCAGATTATAACATAAATGTAGAAAACAGATTAAGTATACCTAACATGCATGAAAAAGATTCTGGTGCTGGGGAAAGAGGCAGAAGAAATTGTGAAATCTGTAACATAAAGACATGCATTATAAAATTAGAAGAGGGAAAATTCAAGTGGCGTTTAGAACAAGCTATCATGGTAGCAAAAAAAAAAAAGAGATGGAAGTTGAAACACCTGGGTGAGTGATAACTGAATGTAGACTTCTAGTGTGAAATATGAAAAGAATGTGAAAATAGATCTCAGTCAAAAATGTCAACAAATAGTTTTCAGGATCACTGAAATCACACAAACATTTATATCTAAGGTGGGACTACTAATGGAAGAGATTTAATATTAAGCAAATGAGGTTAAAGGAGGATAGAAAAACCAAAGTGAAACTCTTTACAAATGAGATAATAGTATGACAGAAACATTTGCAGAAAAAATATATTTAGGAACTGATTCTATTAGGATTTGGAGTGTTATAGGCTGTGGTAGACCAGCTGTCAAATAAGAAAGTACCAGGCATAGATGAAGTACTGATTGAACTGTTTAAAACTTGGGGAAAAGGCAGTTAAACAGGTCTATGTCAACAAACATGGAACAAGATTGTGTAGCCTAGAGATTAGAAAGATAGGTGTATGTATGTATCTGTATCAAATAAAGGAGATGTGCGAGTAAAACTTAAGTATTGAGCTAATTCTTTAAAGAAAGCTTTAATTATAGAACTTAAACAGAGAAAAATGAAATGGAACAAAGCCACAAGATTGGATAACTAAGACAGATAATGGAAAGGGCAAGAAAGTACAAAAGTACTTTCATATACTGATTGCAACAATAGTTTCTACAACAAACCAATTAGTGAAAATATATCAAGGTAATATATGAACCAGAAACCTGAAGATCATTTCAAATGGACAAGAAGCTACTCTAAAAAGTGATTTTGGAGAAACAGATTGGTTCATATAGGAAAGGTAGAAGGGAAAGCTTATGGAGACCCAGTTTAATGTAATAGTTAAGGTGCTAACCCAGATATCAGAATTCTAATCTCGCCTTAGACATGGAAGCAGGCTGAGTGACTTGGACCAGTTGTTCTATCTCTGCCCAACCCATCTTACATGGTGGTGGTTGTAGGGAAAAAAGGAGGATGAAGTATGTATGTTCACCACCTTGAGTTACTTATAAAATAATACAAGTGGGACAAAGTTCAAATAAAGATGCATTTTGCCTGTAGTTTTTTAACCCCCCAAATAAATATTATTCTAAGAATGACAGCCTTGGAAGATGTGTAAACAAAGTAAGAGGTTAAAGCATTAAAAATCTGGGATATGTAAGACAGCATCACTTTTTTAGCTAAAATTAATGAAAATGTATGAATGCGAAAAATGGAGTTAATTAGGAAGACAATGCTTGTGATTTGAGCAAAGAAGCGAAAATGGGCTCAAGGATAACAATAGGTGATGTGTATAGAAATAAAGAAATGAATCCATCCTAATCCATGGAGAAGGTAATGGCAAATAAGTTAATGAAGGATGTAGGTGTGGGACAACACCAGAGGTGGGTTGCTGCTGGCTCAGCCCAGATCGGCCGAATCAGTAGTAGTGGCGGCGGGAGACTCCGCCCACCCTCCTGGACACTTCTGTGCATGCGCAGAAGTGTCGCATGTGCCCGAACCAGTAATACAAAACTTGCAGAGCAATCCACCTCAGAACAACACTGATTAATGGAATGATCTTTCCAGGGTGTGTGCAGTTTGACTTTAAGAAGAAGCAAGAGTGGCTTCTGGGGGCGGAGCCTGTCGCCGAAGAGGGCTCAANGGGGGGGGCTTCGCCGTTCCCGGAAGTTACTTCCGGGTTCGGCGACCAACCGGATCGCAGGGACCGGTGCGAACCGGTTGAAACCCAGCCCTGGTTTATATCATTCATGAAAGGCTCTCTTTCTCTGGTGGAAAATTGATGGGTCTACTAAATTCCATGAAATCTGCTTTTGTCTTTCAGAATATGACAAACTGGGATTTCTTCTGAAGTTGGATTCCAAACTGTGAGTAGAATGATGAAAGGACTTTAGTTTGATCTGGCATTATTAATTTCTTTTGGAGACAAAATAAATTTTGGTCCTGGATTTCAAATCCTATTACTATAATATTATACCCATAAGCAGTGTTATTCAATAGCCATGACTAAAATTTATTATAAAAATAGTGGCTTCTTAATATGATTTTAATGTTTATCAACAAAATAGATTCAAAATAAACCATCCAGAACATGTGAGAATTTTCATCATAGTCCATTTCAGACTATGAAATTACGAAATAAAGTCAATTTAATTAAATAGAGCATTACTGGGTGAGCTTATATGAATTTCAAACCTGTGCATACGTAGGAGTTTTGTTAACATCAGTGTACAGGAAAAATAAGATAATCTGGCCACATATTGCATTAGCCTAATTTGTGAACTACTATGTTCATGCACCACCCTAAGACATTGTAACTTACTGGTGATACATTTATTTACATTTATAAATAAATTATTTTGCAGACAAAATATTATTGCTGTCATATTGCTAAATCCATTACTACATGATATTTGCCTGACCCTCACGGTTACAGGTTTTTACTGTTAGATACAATCAGGGTGTTTTCTGTGTATTGATTTACAGGTAGCCCTGGCTTACAACAGTTTTGTTCAGTGACCATTTGAAATAATTGCTGTGCTGAACGAAGGGTCTTGTAACCCATGCCCGAAGTCAGTTATCACAGTAGCTTTGGAAGTTTTGTAAGTGTGGGCTGCCTGCCAATGAATTTTGATAATGTGACAGCAGGGATGCTGCAATGGCTGTAACTTTAATAGCCATTTTGAGTGATCTTAATAAAATAGAAAATGCAGGATAGAATTATTTGAAGAATCATTTCAGAGATGATGAAATAAAGGTGATTGTACTTCAGAAGTGGGTTGCTCCCGGTTTGGCTGAATCGGTAGTGGTGATTCGGTTTGGGTCACATACCGCTCCTGAGTGAAGGAGTGCAATGTCTGCCAGTTTGAACTAAGGTAACAGAATGTGAGGCAACTGGCAGTTGGAACAAAGTTCTTTTTAGGTGGGGAGAGGGAGTAGAATGTTAACTCCTTAGCATCAGAGAGTGTTAATTACTGTATAAGAAATACTAATGATCTGATGGTCATTTCGAAAAATCCTTTCTTAGAGAGCACCTAGAAGCCAAGAGAAACATACGTGCCAATTTTCAAATTTGTAGGCTTTACGGTTCTGGAGATTTCATGATGAGTGAGTGGCATTTGGCTTTTATATATATAGATTCAATTTGAGCTTGGCTCTGGATGACTCTTGTTTGTTGGCAACAACTTGGAAATGGATTTGGAGGGATTTCTTCTCGGCTTCCACTTTGACTGCAGACTTGAGATTTTTCATCCAAATTCTGTTTAGTTTTTTTCAAGATGACTCAGAGCCAGTTATGTGTTGCTACCTTCTGTAGTCATACACAGTATTGTGATATAATCTTTTTGCTTGATTTGGGCTTGTGAAATGTTTTGAGAAGACATATGCAGAAAGGAATGGGACATAGAAGGCAAAATGCATAGGCTGCGTGCAACCAAACTCCCAGTTTCTCTCTCCCTATTAGCTTATTGAAGCTTACTGTGCTTCAATCTGGAAAATGCATCTCAAGGCTCTGAAGGGGGGGAAGTAAATCCCACAAGTCAAACATTTTTGTCTTCTGATTTGGAAGTGGAGAGACTTGAGTAACCTTTTTAAGCAATGGCATACTTAGGTAGTGAGGACAATCTACTCTGAGGGCAAACAATAAGGTGGATTGTTGCCAAAGATGGCAAGGTGGCTGCAAGAATCAGTTGCTTAAATCAACACAGAACAGTAGCAATTGAGGTAACTGCCCTCTGAAGATTTGTTGGCAAGATTTTTTTCAGAAGTGGTTGGCCCATGCATCCTTTCTACTGCTGAGAGAGAATGACTGGTCCAAAATCATCTGGCTGATTTTGTGCCTGTGAAGGACTAAAACTCACAGCCCCGCCCCCCCCCCCATTTCTAGTCTGGTGCCTTAATCACTACCCTAAACCTGTGCTCGGTAACAGAGAAGAGGGTGTTAAATAAGTATTCCCTGCAGGTTCCAAATATGTTAGGTATGCAACTGCTTGTAAGAAGGCTGCTGGCATGTTTCGTGCTCCTGTAATTTGCAGTGCAAACTTTAAAAAACTGCCTCCAAAAAAACTTTGCTGGAGGTCACAGCAGTGTCTTCGCTTTTAAAGTCATTAATCCTTCTAACTATGGTTGAAAGTGTTATCTCCACATATGTTTTATACTGAAATAAAACTGGTTACCGCCAGTAACTTGCCTGATTGTGTAACAACTAAACATTAGTATGGAGGAGGTAAACCCCAACCCGAGTTAATTTTGTGGTAATTTTGTGTAGCATGGTCTGTATAAAGTTTCATCATCTCATTTCAAGATCATCATCATCATCATCTCAAGAGCCAAGGTGGCGCAGTGGTTAAATGCAGCACTGCAGGCTACTGCTAGATCAGCAGGTCAGCGGTTCAAATCTCACCGGCTCAGGGTTGACTCAGCCTTCCATCCTTCCGAGGTGGGTAAAATGAGGACCCAGATTGTTGGGGGCAATATGCTGACTCTCTGTAAACCGCTTAGAGAGGCCTGAAAGGCCTATGAAGCGGTATATAAGTCTACTGCTATTGCTATTTAAAAAATTATATTATTTTAAACATAATTAACAACAAAAAAGAAATATTTATAAAATAAATAGTTTGGAACGTTGCATATAAGTGTCTTAATAAAACAAGCTGGAATATTAATTTTATTGATACTGTTTTGATCTAAGCTTGTCTTGAGAACTGGTTTCATATTAACTTATAGTAGTTTTGTAATTTGAAGCTTGTTATTGATAATATTCCAGCTTTCCACATTTCGAAATGCTTGGACATTTAGCCATCAAAAAACCATTGCTTATACAGGTGAATTTTAATTAAATTATTAATTTACTTAGAGTTCTCTAGTTAAATTATTCAGATTCATTCAATGACTTGAATAATTAGAAGTCAAGGAACTATAATATATAGATAATAGGATTTTATATTTGCTTGAAACAAGATGCAGATTTTATTTCGTTTTCTATTTATTGGTGATAGAACAACATGCATCCTAAGTGAATTTATATATAGCAGTAGACTTATATACCGCTTCATAGGGCTTTCAGCCCTCTCTAAGCGGTTTACAGAGAGTCCATATTGCCCCCAACAATCTGGGTCCTCATTTTACCAATCTTGGAAGCAATAGCAATAGCAATAGCAGTAGACTTATATACCGCTTCATAGGGCTTTCAGCCCTCTCTAAGCGGTTTACAGAGAGTCAGCATATTGCCCCCAACAATCTGGGTCCTCATTTTACCCACCTCGGAAGGATGGAAGGCTGAGTCAACCCTGAGCCGGTGAGATTTGAACCGCTGACTGTGTGTTTGGCCTATAACCATATATTTTACTAAACTGATAGGAAATTATTATTTTATCAATAAAAGAGAAAATAAAGTCATAAACTATCTTGTTTAAACCAGACTTTGACTACCTCATATTCCTTGGCTCATGGCTGAGAGGCGAATATGTTTGAAAAAGTACTCTACTGGTTTTAAGAATTTGACATTTGGCTGCTTATGATCTTCTTGTGATTTCTGGCTACATTGTTGATGCCCAGGTTTTGTGGAAATAACAGTCACACACTGGCTATGTAGTCAAACTAGTAATGAATGCTTGGACTTATTTTCAAGGATTCATAAAATTGAAAGGAGATGAGAAAAGAGAAGAGGAGGTCAAGAAAAAAGAAAAGAAATGTATAAAAGAAAAAAATTAAAAGTGAGCACTCTGAAATTACTGAAGTGCTGTCAAATAAGTTGCATTCCTACATGAAATAAATAGTTAGAATGCAAAAGAGGGTCAGTTGGAGGGTTTCAAAATGTAGGTGGCATCTTGAATATAAATAAAGCTTTAATGAGAGGCTACTTTGCATGTTGACAGGCAGATTGTAAACTCAACTTCCCTGAACTTTTCTGGATGTTTTAGGTACTGTGTGTAAATTATGGCAAGCTGTAGTCTGTAGCTCTATGTCTTGACCCATATAAAAATACTTGGCAATAATTCCTTTACTTCAAGCTGTTGCTGGAAGAGTAGTGTTCTATCAATAGTCTGGGATTAATCAAACCTATAAATAATTGCAGATGGCAGAATTACTGTAGCATGCACTCTAAAGCTCAAAAATGTTTAAGAAGGAGCTAGTAAAACACTTCTTTGAGGGGAGGGGAAAGAAAATAGAGCCGAGGTGGCGCAGTGGTTAGGGTGCAGTATTGCAGGCCACTTCAGCTGACTGTTATCTGCAGTTCAGCGGTTCTAATCTTACCGCTCAAGGTTGACTCAGCCTTCCATCCTTCCGAGGTGGGTGAAATGAGGACCCAGACTGTGGGGGCGATATGCTGACTCTGTAAACCGCTTAGAGAGGGCTGAAAGCCCTATGAAGCAGTATATAAGTCTAAATGCTATTGCTATTGCTAAAATAAACTATTGCATTATTAACCTGCAATCTGCATTCAGGTGCTACCTGTACATATAGTCTCTTATGAAGAAATATCTATTGGGGTTAGAATATGTTATCAAGCATTTGGCTTCTTTATATGTATGTGTGTGTATGTGTGTAGACACACACAGAGTCCTTGACTTATAACAGTTCATTTAGTGACTGCTCAAAGTTGCAGCAGCACTGAAAAAAGTGACTTACGACCATTTTTCACACTGACAATGGCTGCAGTGTCCCCACAGTCACATGATTGAAATTTGGATGCTTGGCAATTGGCTCATATTTATGAACGTTGCAGTGTCCCAGAGTCATGTGAACATCTTTTGCAACGTTCTTACAAGCAAAATCAATGTGAAAGCCAGATTCACTTAACAACTGTGTTATTAATTTAACAATTGCAATGATTCACTTAATAACTGTGGCACACAAGTTCATAAAATGGGGTAAAAGTCACTCAACAAATGTTTCACTTAGCAACAAAAATGTTGGGCTCAGTTGTGGTTGTAAGTCATATGTTTATATATAAGTAGAGTTATGTATATGCATATGTGCATGTATATGTGTGTGTGTGTGTATACACACACACATATACATATACACACAGACAGAGTGTGTACTTAAAAGAGTTCATTTCAGCTCAATGTTTTGATAGTTTGGGTGCCAAAATAAGGTGCCTCAGGTTAAAATACTGAAGAACTTCAGAATAGGATAGAAAGCTTTCTTGGGAGGAGTAGAATGATCTGGAATAATAGATATATTTACATCTGAATTCTTTTGTGACAGAAATAGGAAATTACGTGGAACATTATGAACAACTTGACATGTAGCCAATGCCAACTTTGAATATGACTGCTTTTATGTTGCTAACAGATTATTGTGTTCTCTTTATTTGTTTATTGATTAGTTGATTGACATTCTATCTTCCCATCTAAAATATCTATTTGAGTCGTGGCTTCCAAATCTGTCTGGGAATGGAAATCAGAGCTACACATTGAGAGAGCTGTGATTTACTGCCAAGCTCTGGTGTGAAGCCTGACATCTTCCCACAACACTTTTCCATTAAAGAACATTTGGACTGGAAATACCAGGTTGCATAAGTGCATTTCAGATAGACCACTCATAAGGCTGGTATTTTGCAATTCCTGATGTTATCATGGTAAGAAAAAAGAAGTAGTAGAAAAATATAGAAGGTTACCAGTGAAAGATGATACTTTGACATCCCCATGAAACTCTAGAGCACCCAGAGCCAAATACTCTTTTTAGATCAAAGTATATGTAAAATAATTCACTTCAGATATCTTTATATTTGCAGTTCTAACAAATTTGCACAGAATGTTCCTTATGGGACAATCTCAAATTAAAGATGAAGAATCTGCTTTGGAAGAATTAAATCTTTTGATTTTTTTAAAAATATTTTTTTAATAGTTAGAATATGTAAATATGCAATTGTTTTAATTGTTCACCAATGCACAGTTAAACAATTTTGTCACATCCCATGACTTTATTCCTCTTCATTTGAAAAGAGATTTTGGGTTTAAACAGGTCAAGCTGCTATTAAAATATGCTTCATTATTCTATTCTGGATGCATTTACTTATTAATTAATGCTGAAAATTTTAATTTCTGTTTTGTCTGCCATATGTCTTTGGGTTTCATGAATATAAATTTAGGGTAAACTCATGGTATGCATAAACAACCAATATACTTCTTTACATCCTTTTATTTATGCCAAAGTAGCTTAAATCAGGGTCTGACTTATCTCTAGATTATGGGTTTGTATATAAATATGGCTATATTATTTTCACAGTGGTTTAAATTGGAGGCATGGCATGACAGACATAGAGGATAAAGATGTAATAAAAATGTAGGTTGTGATAACAATGGAAATCTTAACTACTTTAAATAGGCTGAATATACATCATTTTAATCGTGAGATGAAGTTTATGGATTGTAGACTTATGTTTGACAGAAAGTGGAAAAGATTAATAAAACATACTGTTGGCTGACTTTTCTACCAGCATAGCAATATGATTATTGCTGATGGGGCATTTTAAAAGTCCATTGAATTGAGATCAACAATTAATGTGAATTGGTATCAGTGATGGCGTGTGTCTTTGTTAAGTCTTGTTTCATTGTTGAAGTACAGTTGTGGTAGGGCAGATTTCTTTCAATATGGTATCACCTAAATGAGCTAGAATTCAAAAATGTACTGGAATAATGAAATATCTTTGAAGCTACTGCCCAAAATTCTATTCCCCAAAATGTTTGGATGTGATAATTCTAATCTAGATATAGAATAGCTTTGTTTTCTGGAAGCCAGTGAAGAATGGAGATTAGACATATAAAACCTTGGGTAACTGAAGATGACCTATTAGGCAAATTTTTTTGGAATTCCTAAATTACACAAAGGTAATATCATCCCAGTGAAGAAATACCTTGTCTGAAATGCAGTAATATTCAAAATGACATATGACATATCATGTGTTTTATCTGCTTTAGGGAGCTAGTAGATAACTAGTGTTCAATTTTTAAAAAGGAAGAAAATATATAGAGACCATAAATTGACAGTAGAACCAAAGTTATATGAATGAAAAGTTAATGAAAAATAGAAATATTTGGATACATTTATACATAATTGCACATTCTTCTACTATGATATTCCCATTGTTGCAAGTAAATATTGGCTGAGTTCATATTACATTCTAAATCATAAATCTGAATTAATAGAATGCAATTGCTATGTTCAGTTAACATGTTTATATCCAGTCAGCCAAATTATTTGGGTTTAAAAGATGATTTGTTTACACAACATGTTAATACAACTGCTACGGTAGATTTCCACAATGGCAGATTAACTTTCAGAGGGCAGGGCAGAAAGTCAGGAACAAGATACTGCTCTTATTTTTGTTGGGTGGTAAAAATATCCTACTATAAAAATTGTAAATAATAAGGAAACATGAACTTTCCTACAATTATATAACAAGGTACAGTTAGAATTTATTCAAAGTTTTATGATCAATGAAAATTAGTTACAGGTTAGCATAGCTCTTAAAGCAGTTATGTCTTTTTTTCAGGCAAAAACTTGAAAAAAGATATATTTGTTTCAATAAGTAGTAGAATGGAGTTGCTGCACTCATGAAAGTTCTGAAGCACATCAAAGCATTTATAGTTCGTGATGGAGTCCCCTGAATGAGTTCACATGTTACTGTTACTGGCATTCTTCCTGTCAAAACTTTTTAATAAATAATTAAATTAAAATCCCATGACTTATGACCATTTTCATACTTATGACCATTGCAGCATCCCCATGGTCACGTGATCAAAATTTGGACAGTTAGCAATTGACTCATATTTATAATGGTTGTTGTGTCCTGGTGTCATGTCATCACCTTTTGCAACCTTCTGACAATGGGGAAGTCAGATTCATTTAACAATTACATTACAAACTTAAAATCGCAGTAGTTCACTTAACAACTGGAAAGAAAGGTCATAAATGGTGCAAAATTCACTTAACAAATGTCCCATTTAACAATAAACATTTTGACTCCATTGTGGTCATAAGTTGAGGACTATCTGTATATCCACTGATCGTGCAAGAGACTGAGCTCTTAGAAAATAATAAAAGGAAATGTTGAAGTTATGGTATACAACATCTCGATTTTCACAGTAGGTAGAAGAAACATAGTAATTTGGTTAAATTTACTATACGGTACTAGTATTACATTATAGCATTTATATAGTAGTAAATGTAACAGAGTAATAGTTTACTGGTTTACCTAGTAATAAAATTACATAGTAATATAGTATTATAATACCAGAAAAAAAGTTAGGTAGTATTTTTCTTTATATTTTTAGATTCAAAACTCATATAATAGCAAGGAAATATGCTACATACCCGCAGCCACATGGTACAATTTGATGACATCCTATTTTAATTTCATAAGACTTTTTTTGTTCCTGTTGCTGCTGTTCAGAAATACTAATGATAAAAAGATTTAATCGATCCCCTTTTTATTTTTTTCTTAAGATGATCATAACACTTATTATTTTTCACAGGCCTCCAGAGCTGGTATCAAAATATGGAAATATCTCAGAGGGTGTTTGTAAGCCTGGGTATGCTTCTGCTTTGATGACTGCCATCTTTCCAAAGTAAGTGACTGTTCCTTTGTAATACCTAATTCTGTTCTCTTATTATAATGTCCTAAATATGTGATGAAATATTTACCTTAATTAAAATGAATTTCAGAGCTATGCAATGCTGTTTTAATGATGCAAAAATAATAGTATATGTACATAATGACCACAAGTAAATGAGATTTTTTTTCATTGTATACTTACATTCCCATATTTTGTTATCATATTAGTTGGGGTTTTTAGATTTTATTGTATGATACCATGATTAATCACAGCAGGTTACAGCATCCTCTGCTGATTTTGAAAATGTTAGCTAGAGTTGGATCATGTTTGTGGACTTGACTGGGAATATTTTAAACAAAAAATTATGATAGAAGGCAATGGCAAAACATTTCATATTTTTGCAAGAAAATTGTATGGCTGGATCTGTGGGATCACTAGGAGTAAAAATTGACATTTTCACGGACCATTTTAAATGCTTCTAAAGTGTCCATTTAATTCAACAATGCTATATAGGCTCATACAAAAGGATGAAATCAAAAGGATGGTCTTCTAGCTCAGGGGTGTCAAACTCGCATTGTCACGTTGTCGTCACATGATGTATTACGACTTTCCCTCTTTGCTAAAATGGAGTGGGCATGGCCAGCACGTGATGCATCCACCCCACGGGCCACGAGTTTGACATCCCTGTTCTAGCTAGTCTAATATTGTATTTCATGGTTGCCATCAAGATACCTTTGAAAAAGTTAAGATTGGTCAGGAAGTAGTGACACCCTTCAGCTCATGTAAACCATATTGCATCATATTTCATATCTACTGATCATTGATTCAGCCTTCCATTCTTCCAAAGTAGGTAAAATGAGGACCCAAATCGTTGGGAGCGATATAATGACTTTTTAAACGCTTAGGGAGAGCTATAAAGCATTGTAAAGCGGTATATAAATCTAAGCGCTATTGTTATTGCTACATCCATATCTACATCTGAATGATATGGATGGGTCTGTTTCTGATATGGAGGTAACCATTACAGGTTTAGTATTAATTAATTTGACTATTCCAGTGTTAAGGTAAGCCAATTTAACTACCATTTCTGCACTTCGTGGCAGCACATTCTATTCAATTTCTGCACAAGGTCTGTCTATCTACCATTGTCTGTTTAACAAAAAGAATTGGTAAAGATTGGTGAAGAGTTCTAAAATTTAATATCATAGAGAAATGTATCTTTCAGGTTCACAAACACATGTATGGGGCACATGAACAAATTGCATTTGGGGAGGATTGGGTGCGCGTGCGCAGATTCACACATACGTGCTTTGGGCACTTGGTCCGGAAAAGGTTAGCCATCACTGCTGTATAATCACATTCAATGTTTTTTTCAATGATTTTTTTTTGTATGATACCAGGTATTATGTGAAAGAAATTGGAACTGATAAGGCAGAAAAGGGTTTTTCATTCATTGAATGGGTTGTGTCAGAAATTAGTGACATTTTGATGGAGTTGCTATGTTTCCATTTGTTGAATTGCACTTTTTTTAAAATTGGTAGTTTTGGTGATTAAGTACAGCTGTGAAAAGAACAGCGTTTGACCTTTGTCTGAAAATAAGTCTGGCTTTCTGTGCTTTATGAGAACCTCCAGGCCTATGTGGTTAATCTGCAGTGTAAGGGACCAAGCATGATAAGGGTCTTTTTCCCTTCTCCAAACTTGAAGAAAGAGCCTGAAAGCATTACATACCAGTATACAATTCTCAGCTGGTGATGTTTTCCAACATACAATTTCCTTAGAGTAATACTTGCACTACAACCATTTTTTGATGTGGCATGTCTGATCTATGATAGGAGCACATTATATTTTATAGTTTTATTTGTTTTGGTCCCCCCATTTTCTTGGTTTTCCTAGTGAACATAGAAACATTTGGATCTGTTGTCAACAAAAGCCTTTTTGGTTCTCTGGAATCTAAATAAATCTATTTAGCGATATCTAGAGATTTTTACTGTGCCTTCCTTGTTGCTTGGTTTTGTCTGCACATTCATATAACACGATTGAGAGCCAGTGTGGTGTAGTGATTAAGGTGCTGGTTAGGATAAGGGTTGTAGTTCTCCTTGTACAGTACACAAAAGCAGTCGGGGTGATTTAGGATTAGTCACTGTCTTTTGTCTCTAAATCGAGAAGTTGAAAACATCTAGCTATCAGCCCAAAGTCGAACAGTATGGGAGACTATCATTGCTATACTTTAATAAAGAGGCCTAAAGTGGAGAGATTAAAGTTGATAACAACAATATTACTGGGGACCACAATAACAGTTATTACTGAAAACCTTGAGTACCACTTTGTAGACTACAATTTCTCAATCATAAAAGATTCTATTATATGCCCTACAAGCCTTCTCTGATCTGACTCTAATAGCTGTTCCTTTTATAGAGGGATATATAGTGGACAAGACAAATGATGCACAAGATCATAATAGAACATTATACTAGATTTGCAATTATATTAGAGTTGCAATTTGATGTACCATATTAAGATATGCAGAATCTATCCTAAATTATATTTATTTATTCTTATATTCCTTGTCATGAGCTTTTTACAACTTCATGAATCTGATTTTTTTTCTTTAGTTCAACTTCAGCAAATATTCTTCATAAGCATGAGATGACAGCTATGTTGCTATAACCCTCTTTAAATTCAAAGACTCTTGTTATCCACACAGATTAACTCAACACCTCCTCACTGAACTAGCAGAATTTGTTACAGCTATTCATTATTTTGGTTAAGATGAAAGTGCCAGCTTGTTATTTTGTTACCCTTGTCAAACTCTTAAATATCTTTAAAAAGACGTGCAACCATTCATAAGCTTTTCTTGCTTTCTGTTCTCCCATTTCCTACATAGTAATTTGGAGGAAGATTGAATTAATAGTGATGACCCCTTAATCATAAGTGCATTATGTTCTTATTTGATGACTACGGCAGAAGGAAAAGTAGGCAGTATAAAATATTGTCTTTTACTGCCAGATAAATTATTAGAAAGTTGAAGATTTACCAGATTCACAAAATGAATAAATAGTGTTGACTTGAAGAATCTTAACTGCTTTTTAAAATGCTAGTAAATCTTCGGAAATCAATTAATATTTTGATGGTGATGTTTTACAACTCTGTTTATTTAAATTTGCTACATCAGTCTTATCTAGCAATTACATAAAAGCAGAGTATAGAAATAAGCTTTCTATCTCCCACATTAAATGGTTTTCTCAAAATCCTCAAAAGCAAAGATTGCAAGATCTAGACAATAGTATATCATTGGAAAGTTACATATTAATATTAAAATAACATTACTTAATTAACTGAATCTGGGTGTGATATATCCATTTCATAATGCATGTGGGAACTCTTCCTCATTCCCAGTTTAATTGGAATATAGTGTAGATTTATACTATGAAAGATTAGGGGAAATGCATAATTCTCACACTGGAAAGATATGCAAGGTAAAGTATCCCAAGAACCATTTAATATGATTATAAATAAAGTTATTAATGAGCATATGATGCCAAATACAGGCAGTCCTTGACTTACAACAGTTCATTTAATGACCACTTGAAGCAACGGCATCAAAAAGTGACTTATGACCATTATTCACACCTATAACCATTGCAGCATCCCCATGATTGCACGATTAAAATTCAGATCCTAGCAACTGTCATCTTTATCACAGTTGCAGTGTCCCATGATCATGTGATCCCCTTTTGTGAACTTCTGACAAACAAAATCAGTGGGGCAGCCAGTTTCCCTTAACATAGTACTAACTTAACAACTACAGTGATTCATTTAATAACAATGGCAAGAAAAGTTGTAAAATGGATCAAAACTCACTTAACAACTGTCTTGCTTAGCAACAGAAATTCTGGGCTCAATGTTGATCATAAGATGAGGACTACCTATATAATAAGGGTAGTAAAATTTAAAAGAAATAGCCAAATGCATCAAAAGGATCCAACTTCACTGAGAACCTGGGGTTCCAAATAGTAAATGCAATTCAGTGTTAGCAAAAGCAAGTTGATGAATATTGGTACAAATATACAATAAAGAATCTAAACTGGTAGCAATTGGAATCGTGGTGTATGGCTTTATGAAAAAATGAAAATGAAGTTTAGTGTTCAACTGCTATAATGTAGGCAAATTCCTGCTTAGAGCCATTAGGAAGGGAATTGAAAATAAATCTGTCAAAACAGTAATAGGCTTATAATTATATGGAAAGACTTTATATAAATTTATGACCACTTTACTTTCGAAAAGGATATTATAGATTTAGAAAAAAAGAGCAACAAAATATAATTTATCCTCATAATATTCAGAGCATTTAGAACCTGCAAAGTGATTTTAAGTACATAGGGATAAATGCTTGTTTATAAATTGATTGGTGTGTCTATGCCATATTTCAAGATTGGAATATGCATATTACATAGTATTCAAGAAAATGTAGGCATTTGAGGCTTACATTTATGTGTTTATGTGTTATGTGTTAGTTGCAATGTAAAGGTTTCCTACTGGTCTGTTGTAAGAGGCTTATGAAATATTTCTTTACAACAAATATTAGACTAAGTGGATGTTCTATGAAATGCAGGGTTTGTTTAGTCTGGAAGGCATAAAAAGAAACTCTGTGATATTATTGTATTTTTCATTGATGGTTGTGATTGTAAATGAGAAATGCACACCTAACAAGTAGAAAAATGTGCCTCATTTGAACTAAAATTTTAACTTGGAAGAGATTCTCGATCATTATCTCCTAAAAGTGAAATTTAATCCAGACATATTTTCTTCATTTTATGGCTTTTATGGCCAGAAGCTTCCTGTATTGTTCTATATATCCAGTCAAGCTGATTAAATCACATTCTCAGACAAAAGATACCAATCATGGTTTGATGTATTTAAAATACACTCTGCTTTGTTATGACAAATGGAAGTTCATATTCTCAAAACTTCACGTTGCTGTGAGATGTTATAAACTGTGTATAAGCATTTCA